TTGAAAAGATCCTCGAGAATAAAAAATGGAAGTTGATTTCAAGCAGCCTTAAATCACGATCTATATCCAAATCATCCGTGGTTTCTTAAACAGAGGATCATTCTCATCGACAAGATGATGGATTTATAACACTGCAAGACTTCAATGATGAAAGCAGCATCAACAAGAATCATTTCTACAAATTTGTCACTTGCAAGGTGGATGGTTTCTGCATAACACTGCCGTATTCTTTCTTCTTTTCTTTCATTACGTCAACTAATTCCTCCAGCTGCCTTTGGGTTCATTGGAGAAAGTTCTTTAAGTACCTCCATTTATGTTCTTCCATAGCTTCTAACCCCTCTTTTCCATGGTGAAGTGGACCAATGAGATCCTGAGAGGAGTGTAGGCTGCTTCATTAATTTTCCGAAGTGTCGGGCAAACCCTGTAGATGCAACACTCAGAGGACAGAGGAGGCAACCTTTCTAACCTCCCCTTCATGGATGTTACCAGTGGAATGTGGATATTTTCTGTATCAATTACATCACCATGTCTTCCACTTTCTTCCATTGAGCCACTATGTTCCATTCTTCTGGTTTAATGGGCAGCAAAATTCACAAGCAACAAAACAACAATCTCCCTTTTAGCATCACAACATGGAAATGAATATGAGCAAAAACTATTCAACAACTCTACATTATCCATTGGCATCGTCAAATCCTCCATTTGCAAAGTTCTCTGTGCCCTCATGTCAATATAAGATTGAGGAAATGTCAGTAGTTATCACACCCCATTAACTATTTGACAGCTCTAAGAATTGTTGGAATGAAATAGCTTAGAAATGACAAGAGTTAATGGGATAAGTATGTCAAAGTCTATGTAAATCAACACACAGACAAATCAAGTTTGAAATTCTATAATTGAAAGAATGTCAGTGCTAAATTTGATATATAAGTAAGAAACATCACAAGGCTGATCATTTTATCTTCCACCAATAGGCACTAAGGAAAGGGAAGAAACAGTAATGTACCCAACAAGGAGAAAACCGCATACAGCGCTGCTCTACCTTTAATTTCGGGAGATTACGAATCTGCTTTCATGAACATACACTCCAAGTGTTGCACTCAAGAGGTGAAAGATTACCTTTGAGCCTAGTTGTTTTTGGAAAAAAATAATAAATTATATTGACATCCCTTAGTTTTCCATGAAGTCGAGAAAAATGTGGAATTGCTAGTTCATGTAGAGATCTTTTCAAGAAGAGAAATTTCTAGACTATCAATCATCAAAGATATTTCAATCAGAAAAAAAAAAACATATGCTAATAGTTGAATAACGGAATATTTGACAAAAAAATCTAAATATTTAGCTCTTAGACTCTCCAAAGGCCAGTTGCACAGTACAATATTGGAAAAAACTAGGGTATTGAAATTAAAATTTTGATACTGTACTAAAAAACATCATTGTTAAGAGTAAAGTTAGGCATTGGACAAAGGTATAACTATACAGATCATGAATAACCTCAAAAAATCATAAATTGACTTAAAACATTAGAAATTTTGGTACAATATCTCCTTCACCACCATAGTCGTCAGTAGAATAACATCAAGATAATGCTGGTAGAGATAAAGAACACACGCACACAGCAAGTTCAACAGGCTATTACATTAAGATTAGAATTAACTTAATAGTAGATTAACTTCCCTCAGGTTGGCACGTTGATCTCAGTAAGAATAACAAGTAACGGTGACGTTCACATGAAGTTGATCTCAGTGTGTGTCACTCTCTCATTTGACAATTCAATAAGATCATCTACCATTAGAAACCAGAACAAAAACAGACCCAAAAGTGAACAGTAAAGAAAGGAAATGAAAAAATACACACCCAACAGCCAAAGTCCGTCGTCACACTCTACGGTGACCTTACCGGAAATAATCGATGAGAATTAGAGTTCAGATTTTTGGTGTAGAGAAGTTTTTGTTGGTATGAAGTGAAACAGCGTGTGTGTGGAGAAATTTTTGTTGTAGAGAGAGAGAGAGAGAGAGAGAGAGGGGCTACAGTCAACTTTGGTCGCCGGCTGAGTCACACAAAGTTTGGGGGGAGGAGGGTGTTAATTAGTAAGTTTAAGGTCCAACACTATTATCCTTTTAAACTCGTTTGAATTACGATCATCACTATTTGAAGTCGAGAGAATAATCAGTACAAACTTATATATCTCGTAGCAAAAGAAAAAAAGTTTTTTAAGGGGAAGAGATTGTTGGCTAGAAACCCAAAAAAAGTTTTGAGGTTTATGTCATTTTGTTCATTCAATTATGATTATTAATCTTATAATGTCTCATTAACTAATTTTTAAAAAATATTATTTAGATTTAATTTGATCTAAAAATTTAATTCAATGCAACCATTGATTGAAAGTGGGTACCATTACTTTATTTTTTAAAACTATGTAATTTTATTTGACTTTTGTCCAAAGATAAGGGACATTTGTGATATGCACAATGTGAAATTAATTTAAATGGGATAAAGTGAGATGAAAGACACAGTTAGGGAGAAAAGTGTAATTAATCCAACTGAAAATTCAAAAACAAAAAAAAAAAAGAGTTTAGTATAATTAGAAGGTAAATTGTAGTGGATGTCGTATGAGATTTATCTTATTTTGTTTCTTAATATTTTAATTGCATCATTTTAACCCTTGAATTATTAAATATGCTTTTATGTGATCCCTCAAACAGACAACGTTTAGATTGCTTACAATTTTTTTTTATAAACTTGTTATATAATACTTAAATATGGGCAATAAAATAATTTAGAAAATTATTGACCAAATTTTTACCCAATTTTTGGTCAAGGAGCTACCCAAATTGCATAGATTTGATCATAAACGATTCAAATTTTGGTCAAAAGTTATCTATATTATACATTTTTGTCAAGACTTACCTAAATTATTTTTTACTCATATTTAAGCATTACGTGACAAGTTTATGACCAAAAACTATTAGCAATCTAAATGTTGTCTACTTGAAGGATTATATAAAAATATATTTAATGTTTCGTGGACCAAAATGAGATAATTGAAATATTAAATATCAAAATAAAATAAATTCTATATTTTGAGGACCTCTAATACAATTAATTCATAATTACGAGAAGATAAAGTTAGAAATACCGGTTCATTGGTTTACTTCAAACGTGTAATTTACACGCGTGAGTACCAAATTAAAGGCTAATTAGACTATTCGAGCAAATCTAATAGTACCTGCTTTGACATATCAAGAACCAAATTCCACACAACTGACAAAGTAATCCAATCACACATCAAGATCCATATTTTCTATGGATTAGCCAAATTCGATTAGTTAAATTCTAATTTATTATATTATATTATTATGATTTTATATTTTTGATATATCAATATCAAATTCAATTACCATTCAAACCCAATTATATATAAATATATGGTGGAAATTATGTGAGCAATTGGTTTTCAATTAGGTGCTTGGTAAACATGGCACTAGTACAATAAGAACATGATCTTGAATCAAAATTGATGACGCACAAAGTTAATTATGTACAATTAAATTAGTTGAGTGTATGGTGTAAAATAATTAATAATAAGAGACAAAGATTGTGTGGTTGGGTCTGGTGACCTATCCACTAAAGGCGACAACGATGACCGAAAAACTATTTTAATGAAAGAGTACAAGGTTGTAGGAGAGAAGGAGGAAGAGTACGTTCAATATGAGATGTGTGAGATCTGCCCCATATGTAAAGGAGTTTACAATTTATAGGCACATAGCCCCAATTGAGACGATGACGTGAGGGTCAAATTACTAATTTATCAAAAAAGATAACTACAATTGGGGATATGCACTATCTTGAAGTAATGGATATTTCGATGATTGCTTTCAAACGTGTGTGCATTGTCTCTTTCTCGACTCTTGAGTTTTGAATTGGACTGAAGCCATGTAAGTTTTGTCTTCTTGAGGTCAAGGGTTAAAGTCTTCTTCCCCCTCTCTCTCTCTCTCTCCAAAAAAAAAAATTAAGTCTGGCCTACTTTTTGATGATTTGAGCTCAGTCCATGAACAGGACTCTGGCCTAGTTGGAATTTAGGCTTGCCAAAAACCAACTTCTTCCTCGACAGAAGAAAAAAAAAGAGAGAATAAAATAAAAAGAGGCCAAAGCTTCTTGTATCAATTTGAGCTTTTCAAGAGCAGTTAGCTATTTTGCTCCTAGTTGCTTGCTTAGCTCAGGAGGTAAAGCTTGTTGAAAGCTATAAATTTGTTATTTGAGTTGATTACTGTTATGTAGAGGTGGTGATAAATTATCTCTTCTTTAGAGTCGGAAACAAGTGGTCTTCCAGGTATCTTGTAGTGAGGATGTGGTTTCCTCCTTTGCCCTGAATTCAGTGGTTGAAGGATATCTGTGTGTGTGTGTGAGAGAGAGAGAGAGAGAGAGAGCACAAGGGTTGACATAATACCAATATCATCGCTTCTGCCACTACTGAAACGGGGAGATGGAGATTGAAAGACCAACCTGAATGGAAGGTCTGCAAGTGCAAACAGAAAAAAAAAACCCCACATGAATTGATAATTTGTCAGTATACAATCATATATGATATCAATTGACACTCAAAATTTAAGCCATCTCTTCTCTTTTTCCTTGCTCACAACTGCATTTGAAGCAGATGCATGAGCTGCCTCGGCATCTGCCAAAGCTTTGCGAGTCTCATTCAACTTCCTCGTAGCAGCCTCATAAACAACCTTTTCGTTTTTGTTTCGGCTCACCATTTCTTCTAGCTTCTCGATTCGCATCCTCAACTCCTTCATTTCATCATCATATGCAACCAGAGTCCGCCTGTCCACTTTCTTCCCTTCTCCAACACCTTTATTCTCCCGCCTCTTTGCCAACCCACCATTCATAGCTTCACTGTGTGTTGCAAGCTGGGTATTGATGAGAGTAAAGACATCCGGCCTTGATTCATCTTCCTCTTTAGCAGCTCTAGCTAATTCTGCAAACTTCTTGTCGCGTTTTCTCTTCCCACCCCTGCTACGTTTCTTCCCACGATTCTCTTCATTTTCCCGAGATTTGAGTGCATGATCAAGAGATTGCTTTGGTGGAAGGACTCTCACGGATATCGGGTCCAGCATTCCCTGCCCAGATGAACCTAGACCCATACCTTCCTGGTAACCCATATTAGCCATCATCTTGGAAGCTACACCCCTGGTGTGATTCTCCCACTTTGCAAAAATGACAGTTTCAGTCTGGATGCCCCTCTGCTGGGTAGTGCTCTCAAGAAATCCTAAACCTTGTGAATCATCTTCCTGATAGATACTAGAATCAGATTGTTCTGAGCTCGTATCACTTTCATCTTCGTCACTCATTTCTGCAAATTCAGACAATGAAATTGCTTCAGTCCCAAGCTTTTCGGAGCGTCCATCGTCTTGGAAAACAACTTGCCCCACCCTGAGTTTCTCATTCCACGATTCAAGTTCAGCTTCCCTCCAAAGGCCGACTTTGTTGTCTGAGACTGCCCATATACTGGACCCAACCAGCGACTGCTCCCATACCGTGGGTATATACTTCTTCAAGGAAGATAGGGGAACATCAACCCCTGGGCCAAGAATTGCTACATTTCAGTTCTGTTCAAAAATGCTTGATAAAACCATACAAGCAGGTGAAAAATAAGATAAAACAGAAGAACAATATTTTATGTGTGCAGCATTAAGAATTAGCAGCTGGCCTATTCTATTACTGTTTATTGCAGGAGAGTGGGTGGTTGGTCTCTCTTCGTCTCTAAGACAATAATAGTTCCTATTACCCTTCAAAGCCTAAAGAAAAGAAATATCAACAAGAAAAGGAAAATAAGTTACTTGGCACCTCCCTCATCCACGTGACAATCATGTACACCCATCAAATGTGCTGAACACTCTAGTGTTACAATATGTGGGCATAATGCCAAAAAAGCAATTGTTGGACACGATAAAGCTGGCAAGAGAAGGGAAGTCTTAGAATTGCTTAAAGTTCTTTATCTTTAAATATGGGAGCAAAAGGTTTCACCAGACAAATTTTTTTCATTGTGCATATAAAAGGGGAGTATTTCTTTTCTAATTTGCAGGAAGCTGCTTTCCAAATTATTGAAAGGCAACATATTCACATTGATCCCCATTCTATGCATCACTTAAAAAATAATAATACAAAATTTTGGGCAGTGAAAGCTTTGTGAAACCATTTCGAAGGTCTGTCAGTCCTATTAGCAGATGCATTGCAACATACCATGTGATAAGCGGCAGTTAGTGCCAAATCGACATCGTTGCTGCAGAAAGAACTTGCACATCTGCACTTGGGTGGTCTAGCATTAGTAAGCTGATGCAACAAAACTCATTGTATTCCATGTGACAATCATAATCCAACCAAAGAAAATAAGACTAACGCCAAGACTTGTGTGTATGTGAAGCCAAAGAATGCAGAGTTTGTTCTTTGACCACCAATACAAAGAATGTCACTCATTGGCGAGCTATTTAAGAAATTTAAGTACAAACAAGATGCATACACCAATTGACTAGATTGGTAACTATTTTCACCAGTGCAATGTTGACATGTATATTTGTGCATACATAAATATATAATTGAAGCACCCATGTCAAAACTGCAAAACCAGTAAATATGTCAAATCAGCATGTAGAAGAAAGTGGAGTTCATTACCCAGTTTGGGACTTTGTCCCCACTAGGGAAAGGGGGACTGGATATACCTAATCATTGCTGATCAAAATAGCTCCAAATTCAAATCAATGTGTGTCACCTAAAGAGTCAAGAACCAACAACCTCACCAAAAAAATGGCTTCAACATTGGTTTAGGTCGAAAATGATATGATTATAATAGGTCAATTAAATGAGGTTAAAATCACAGACTACCCTTAAGCCCACAAATCTAATCAGGATGATAAAGCGGTAAGCAGTTATTAGCTTCTGCTTCCTCCCTCCTCTTGGCCTTTAGCCCACTTTTTCTCTCAGTCCGTCAAATGGTAGAAATAGATTAGTTCTAGCTGGTTGCCCCTACCCCAATAAAGTTGGAAAGTAGGTCATGACAAGTTTTGATTAACCAAAAAAAGTATTTCCCTTCATTCTGAGTCAAGCTTAGTTCAACTCAGTCATATATAGGCACAGAAAAGCAAAATAAGTGAGCTGTTAAACAATAACCAACCAAACTAACTGCTTGGAAGAAATGTGTTACTATTGACGAGAAAAATAAAACAAATGAAAACAGAAAAAGCAGAATAATTTTATAAAATACTGCCAAAACAAAAGTAAGGTGGAGAAAGAAGGTAATAAATTTTGAATCTTTGGATATACAAGTTCTAAAAAAAAAATTCATTCCTTCTGTATTAATAGCTACTCTAGATTATCTGACAACACCTCCTTGCATCTCAGAATTTGACAACGGTCACCCATCGTCTGGCATTATATGCACAACTATAAACTCTCAAAATATTTGATGTTGTAATAAGACATCAATACCAAATTTCTCTTTAGACAGATAGGCCTAAAACCAAGGCATACTTGGCAAAAAAAAAAAAGAGGCTAATCAACAATCAATTTGCATGAAAAACAATTGAACAGAACATTGTACCCACCAGCATGTTTTCAGATTTCGGAGTGAGGAATGAAATTTTTGCAGAATTAGAATCTTCTAGTCCAACAATGAGGCCATTATACCATCGTCCATTGGTGTGGCGGAACCTACATTTTGATCCAATGGAATAACTTTGATCCCCCACCAGGGGTTCAGCTTCAAAATCTGTTGGATCAAGAGGCTCTACCCTGACATCCTCAGCAGAACGTTGGGAGCCCTGTAGAGTAAAGTCAGCCTCTCTCAATAACCTTGCACGTTTCAGTTGAAGGAGCCCTTCCTCTACATCTTTGATAGCCTGAACAAGCTCATCACGAACCTGATACAACAACACACAACTTTTAGTAGCTTCAAGGAGAGTTACAGAGGAAATAATGACCACCACAATGTCATTCTTTATAAGTAATCCAATCGCATCTGTAATGCAGGAAAAAAATTTCAATCTAGTAATGAGTAAAATAATTTAGGGCAAATTCTATCTTAGCATCATCTGCTATACCCCTTGACCCTCTGTGGCTCAAATAATATAACTGCATAACCCCCTCATGGCTCTATGAGCACCGGCTGTTGCTCAAAATATACTGCCTCTGCATATCATACAGATATTTCCAATTAAATTGAGACATCAATTATTTGTAATGGGGCCCGCATACACTGATTATGCATATGCGTAATCAATCACACTCTCCCGTGGTGGGCTGTGCATATGGATCTCTGGTGACTATTGAAATCATATCCAATGATTGTCGAAGAAAAAAGGAGAGAGAAAGTGGAAAAGCAGAGGAGAAATAAAGAGGAGGAGTTGTTGAAGAAGAAAGAAAAAGGATGTAAAGCAAACGAACAAGACCCACCTCTTCAAGTCATATTCACAATTAAAAGAGAAAGAGAAGTGTAGAATGAGAAAGCTGTGCAGAGATCGAATAGGTTTCACATTTGACCATATACATCTGAGGTATTAACATCATCTTGTCAGCATCATTAACAGAGTCAACCGTTGCACATTCGTCTAGAACCATGTGGTGACATTTGACCCATTGGAGGATGAAGTGCTAAAGTATACACTACAATTGTGTAAAATAGAGTTTCCCAATCTTTCTTTCTTCTTTTCCCTATCATTTATTCATAAAATTAAAAAAAAATATATCTGAAGAGAACTCCAGAATTTTTAAGTTAAATTCCGTAACCATTGTTCAAACAAGGTCACAAGACGTGTCAATTAACAATATTATAATTGTATTTTATTTTGCAAAACAGCATTGTCCTAAACTAAAAATTACATGGATAAGGCAACACACAATTGACAACTGCATAAACAGAACAATACAGATCCTTAATCAGACAAGATAGTGCCAGACTAGAAAGCACGGATACAGACACTAGTGTCGTATCCGATTTGATACGGACACGGGGATAAGACAAAATTCTAAAATATAGGATACGGGTACGGCGAGGATACAACTAATTAAAATAATATAATATTTTTTTATATATATAATAACATTAATAATAAAATTGTGGAATTAATTAATATTTTATAATTAGACAAATAAGATAATTTAAATTTAGTAAGTGAGCTAAATGTTATGAGCTAGGGGCTAAATGTAATGGGTTGTGAGCTAGACTAATAAGAAGTCTAATTGTTCGGTGGACACCACAACACCATAACGAAGAGAATGTGAGAGAGAGAGAAGAGAGAACGATGTTGCAAGCATCTAGGGCAAGCCAACCACACCAATCGCACACAGAGAGAGAGACAGAGAGAGAAGGGAGAACGATGTTGCGAGCATCTAGGGCAAGTTGATCACACCAATCGCACAAAGAGAGAGAGAAAGAGATCTAATCACACCAAGCCGATCTATGAGAGATCTGATGGCATCAAACCTCTAGAAGCATCAAGAAGAAGAATCTCAAAGTACCTATGTCTGATCTCAAGTCTGTGGCGAGTCGTATAAGTAGAGGAAGATGACATCTATGGCTGACTGATCTCAAATATGTAACGTCTTCTACCCCTCTTTTTTTTTTTTTTTTTTGTTTGGATTTCAACAAAGATATGTAGCCGTATCACCTCTTATCCAAGTTGTATCCGCCCACAAAACATGCTTGATCGTTGTTCAAGACACTGGTGGAAGTGTTGGACACATGTCCGGTCGCGTCCAACGCGTATCCGTGTTGGACACGTGTCCGACACCGCCACATCGACCTTCGGAGGAGTATTTGTGCTTCCAAGGTGCCAAATGAAGTATCAACTATTCCATGATGCATGAAACCGTAAAATAAGAAATAAAATAAATGCTTTAATCTACAGTATTTGAAAGCAGCAACTATCTTCAGTTCTCGGAGACACTCTTGACTCTTATTTTCTTCTGTTGTATTTTTAAGAACCACCATCATCCGAGAAAGGATAACTCAAGAAGGAAAAAAAATGTTATCATGAGATTGCTGGGAACCAAAAAGAGTTCAAGAGTTAAAATCAGGAGCATAATGGGAAGAAAAACAATTGCCAAACGACAGATAAGAAATAACAATATGCCACAAGGAGACTAAAATATAAAGTGATCATTTCTAATAGTTGCGCAACCGACAAACTGTGTTACATGACCCCGCAACCCCCCTCCAGGAACACATTTCATAACATTAGATGGCAAACTACAACCCAAAAAAAAAGGCCCAAAACTCAAGTCAAGAATATGATAGCCGCTTGAAGTGGTGGACAACTTGTCCTTTAATCATCAAACAGTATTCAGATAAATGTCCCTACACTTTCAAGTACACATTGCCCAAGACATAGTTTGCCCACGAGAAAAAGTTCTCTACTAAATTCACCTGTTACAAATTCCCCAAGGCTTTACTTATAGAAGTCTAGCAAGGTCACAGCCATGCTACGGTCCCAACATGCATATTTGTCGTCATGTTTAACAGAAAATTGCTACATGAGTTTTTAGTACCCAATTCACTGATTAATGAATTCAAAAGCATAGGAGTCATTTAGGTTACAATAAGCTGACTACCAAGGATTAAAATTTCGTTTCAACGTATTGTTACGATCACCTAAGAAACGAAAATGTTTTGATGTGTTTCGAAAACGTTTCGACGTGTTTCGGAAACGTTTCGACCCGTTTCGGAAACATAATGGAAAAAATAAAAAATTTAATAATTATTTTTCTAAAACATTGATTTAAATATATCAAAATATCTTGAAATACCTTGAAACATTCTGAACCAATTGTACAAATGCATTAAAATATTATAATACATTTCGAAACATTATGAAATACCTCAAAATATTAGAATTTCGATTCTATCACTGATTCGTTTCAGTCGCCTTGGAAACAGAAATGTTTCGGACGTTTCGACCGTTTCGAAACGATATTTTGATACTTGCTGACTACCAAAACATGGTCCAACAATATGAACCTACAATAGATCCTAGCATCAACTTGTTAAAAGGTGTGTGTTAAAGCATCCAACCCAAAAGTAATTGTCAATGGGTGGAGTGACCCCTCAAATATATAAACCAATCGTGGGTGATCCTGATTATTAGATGTGAGATACAATTTCTCTTTACACCCTCCTTCACATGGGACCTAAGCTTACACGTGGGGCTCACATACATACTAGCACATGCGGCCCACTAACCAACCATGACCCAACTCTAATACCATGTTAGAGCATCTAACTCAAAACCAATTAGTAATAGGTGGAATGGCCCTCAAGCATACAAACCAACCATGCGTGAGCCTAATTATTCGATGTGTGTATAAGCTCTCTTTATATTGTAGAGGTAGTCAAACCATCCTAGTGCTAAGTGCTAACACCTTCACTCATGTTAAAGCCATAAATGAGTTCGTACAAAACCAGCAAAAAGTTCTCTTCGCAGAATAATAAAGTAATATTTAATCTTAGTGAAGCTATCTATTTCTACAGAGGCCTAAAAGTCTAGTAGCAATCATCCATCCAAGTTCCGTAATCCCAGAACAGTCAATTCCTCCATTCAAAAATTGAAGCAGGTGATAGATATAGCTTTCATTTGTATATAAATTCCATCAAGAGAAACAATGCAAAACATTTTGCTTTCGCTTCTTCAATTTTCAACTACACCACTCGAAGGGAGGGAGAGTGAGCTTTAGTTGTTTGTCATGCTTAGATTGTCATGCTTATGATATAATACATCCATCACTTACCTATACATCAACTAATAAATTCATCGATGGTATGAGGTCATTTGGCTAGTTCTTAAATTCCATATATCCTTGTAAAGAAAGAATATCATTGGTTGATTTAACTTTAAATAGAAATAAAGTTTTGACACAGTGATCCACTCCGTTAACAAGAAAAATTAAAGCCCATGAAACTAGAGTGGACCATAGTTACCTAAATTATACAAAAGATAATTCATGATGAGGAATTAAGAATCAGAGATTCAGGTGTGTGTGTGTGTGCGTGAGAGAGAGAGAGAGAGAGAGTATGTGTGTGTCTTTGTCTGTGTGAGAGAGGGGGGGGAAGAAGGGAAAAAAAGAAGAATTCTTAGAGGTAGTTTTGCTTTAGTGTTCAAATCACATCAAATCTTACAAATTAAGGACAATTGAGCGTAATACAACAAGAGAACGAAGAGTGAAAAATATGAAGGAAAGGGTAGAGTGAAAGGATGAAAACTTAACACTTATAATATTTTCCTTTCCTACCAACGAGTCATGTTTAAAGACATCACAAACTCTTTCCACGAAATATGGTAGCATTTGATGACTCAACTTTTATTACCACAACTATTCGTCTTGTAAAAGCATAGTTGTTAGTATCGTACGATACGCGATACGTACTGTACGATACGTTACGATGCAGCCCTAAAACAATACGGATCGTAGTTATGTATCGTTTTTACGTTGTATCGTCCGATACACGATACGTTTTTACGATACGATACGTATCGGTACGAAACACACGATACGTGCAATTTTTTTTAATTTTTTTTTTTTTTATAAACGACGTCGTTTTGTGCTCTGATTTTTTTTTTTTAATCCCTATAACCACTGAAACGACGTCGTTTCAGTGGTTAGGGTTACAAAAAAAAAATCCCTCATTTCTCACATATTTGCCTTCGCTATCGACGACGTCTCTGGTTTCTCTTCAGCCATCGACGACGAGTGGCGATCGCTATGGGTGGTGATCGCTATGGGTGGTGATCGACTGTGGGTGGTGATCGATTATGGGTAGTGATCGACTGTGGGTGGTGATCGACTGTGGGTGGCGATCGCTATGGGTGGTGATCGCTGTGGGTAGTGATCGACTGTGGGTGATGATCGACTGTGGGTGGTGAACGTTGTAGGTGGCGATCGCTGTGGGTGGTCTTCGACTGTGTGGGTGGTCTTCGAGTGTGGGTGGTCTTCGACTCTGGGTGGTGATCGATTGTGGGTGGTCTCCAACTGTGGGTGATTGCTGGTCTTCGTCTGTGGGTGATTGCTTGTCTCCGACTGTGGGTGTTGATCGCTGCCTTCTTCCTTCTCCAGGTACTCCTTCTTTTTCTTCTTCTTCTTCTTCTTCTTCTTCCCAGTCTCCATTGATCGTTGGTCCTGTGCAGTATGTAATGATATTAATTTATTTACAAAGCCAAATGTATATAAATTTTTTTGTATAAAAATTTCTGAATCTTGATTAATTTTAATTTTGTGCAACAGTGGCATCACCTGCATCCAATTTTCATATAGAAATGACTAAAAAACTTGCTAATGATCCCACATGGGAACATTGTGACAAAGTAGAAGGATCAAGGTTGAAATTGAAATGCATTCATTGTGCAAATGTCTATTGGGGAGGCATTTCAAGAATGAAAAATCATTTGGCAAGTAATCGCAAAGATGTAGCAGCGTGTAAGCATTGCCCTGAGGAAGTAACTGAATTTTTTAAGCAATTATTGGATGATAGGGCAATTAGCAAAGATATGAGTCTTGTGGATTCGAAAAGTAGTGGCAGTGTGGGTAGTACTACTGCTGATAAAATACAGCCAACCACCACAATTACTTTGAATACTATGTTGAAGAAAAAGGGTAGGGAAGATGTATGCTTAGATATTTGTAGATGTTTTTATGCTAATGCCCTTCCTTTTAATTTGGTAAAGGATCCATATTTTGTAAGAATATTAGAATCTGTTGCATCGTTTGGTAAGGGATTGAAACCTCCATCGTATCATGAGGTGAGATGTTCTTTTTTGAAAAAAGAAACAAATTTGATTAATGGTGGGTTGATGGAAAATTATAAAGCAGAGTGGAGAAGGACGGGTTGTACTCTTATGTCTGATGGATGGACTGATGGGAAACATCGCTCTATCACTAATTTTTTAGTGAATAGTCCTAGAGGAAGTGTGTTTCTTAAAAGTATTGATACTTCAGGTATTTGTAAGAATGCGGATAATCTTTTTGAGCTTTTAGATTCAATGGTAGAAGAGATTGGTGAGGATAATGTTGTTCAGGTTGTAACTGATAGTGCATCGGCTTATGTAAAAGCTGGGGAGTTGTTAATGGCAAAGAGGAAAAAGTTGTTTTGGTCTCCTTGCGGTGCACATTGTCTAGATCTCATTTTGACGGATATTGGGGACCTTCCTCTGCACAAGGATATAATGTCAAAGGCAAGGAAAATCACAGTTTACATTTATAGACATTCTTGAGTGTTAAATCTTATGAGAAAGTATACAAAGAAAAGGGATTTGGTGAGAGCTTGTGTGACCAGATTTGCCACCTCATATTTAACTTTAAGGAGTTTATTTGAAAATAAAATTGGGCTTAGAGCAATGTTTGCTTCTGAGGAATGGCAGAGAAGTCAATATTGTAAGAAGGGAGATGGTGTAAAAGTGATGGATATTATACTAGCTGACCAAAATTTTTGGGGATCAATCAAGTATTGCTTGAAGTGTGTGTTGCCATTGGTGAAGGTGTTGAAGCTTGTAGATGGGGATCTAAAGCCTGCCATGGGGTATAT